TTATTTTAAGAATTAAAGGACATTTTCCTTTGAACCGTTTTGCGAGTAGCACTAATTATTATTTGTATGAACTATTAGCAAAGCAATATTGCCCATTAAGAGTCAAAATCATTACAGTATCGCCCCTTGTCTGACCACATTAATGTTGACTGTTAAGCGTACATTAATTTTAGATTAAAGAGAATTTTTTTACATTAACATAAAAACTAGTTTTTGGAGGTTGAATTTGATCATAAGTATAAGGTCTTAATCTAATTTATCTCTTATATTTATTATTTTTCTTTCAATTAATTTCTCTAACTTATAATTTAATGTTTTACAAGACATTTGTTATAATTAACTAATTTATTTGATTTTTTTAATTAAATTAAATTAATTGAGTAACTCTTATATTAAAAATTGGAGGTATTGCTTATTCTAATCAATAAGAGTCATGGATTGAATCATACTAAAATTTATATTTCATGCTTTACTTTTCATATTGTAATTTTTTTTCTGAAACATAGAGGACGACCGACTTATAATAGGGGAAAAAAATACCTCACATGCTAGAGTTCAAGTTTTGGATTTGATGTAAAATCCTCCTCGGGCCCCTCCTTTTCAACTTGACCAGATTTATTCCGAGGACATTAGGAAAATTAGGAACAATTTTTTTTATTGATTGTTATTCTATCTGTTCAGTTATACAATTTAACATCAAAATTTCCCGTCTGTATCATCTCCATATATGTCTAAATATTGAAGCCATCTTTTCGACTTATAATGGGACGTCATGGTGAATTGTTTATTGGGTATTCACAGAAAACAAATCAGCATATGTATTAATACGAAATTGACTAATTTTACCGGTAGGAATTAGGTCTAACAGAAGGGGCTAATCCTTCACAACATTATGAACTAAAGTTTGAATCCCCACTCGGAGAGATGCCTACATTTAGTATCCTATAGTACCTCGAATAAGATTGCCTCTAATAAAATGATACATGTGTGTAGCAAAAAGAAAATAACTGACTTTAATTTGCATCACTAACAATATTTGGTCCAGTCCATATCATAACACTCTGCTCACTAGCTAATCCTTAATTAAATTTAATGAAATATTTATAATTAACTTTAAAATTGCTTTTCATCTCTTTTACTCTCAATTTATACATCTAACTAATTTAAATGTTTTTCTTCATCTTAGAAAAGTAGTTAATATGACTTTGTAGAAAATATGGGAGGGAGTACTTGTAATGAGCCGACGTCAAGTAGGCATTAGAAACATACTCGTGTTGCTGTGCATCTGATTATCTGAACTCGTGTTGCTGTGCATCTGATTATCTGAGCCAACTTTGTTATTTAACGTTCATTATATTTAATTCTTTTCTGGTTTTAAATATAAGACTTATTTTATAGTGTAAGTTATACTTCGTACAGAATAGATGAGAGAAGCAACTGAGACGTCATTTGAATATCTAGCCTGAACAAGACATGACTCTGTTATTTCGAGCTACTCGTATAAACCGCAATGGAGCAGAGCGTCTCAAGCTTCGAAACAGAATGTTATAAGATCCTCTTATCTTCCACAAATTAATAGCTACTCACTGTTGCAAGTTACAAATTAATATCCAACATGTTAACATACATATAAATCTTATCTTACAGATTACAACACTCACATCCCTTTTCGTTTTGCTTAGCACACTTACACCTGAAATCTTAAACACAGACGCATAATATCTTTTTATTTGGTTCAAACTCATGACAAAACTGTTAGAGTAACAATCATATATCACATTAAAGACTATTCATCAAAGGTTCCTTAACAACATGAGACACACAAATAACTATTGTTATAAAATGCTCTCTTCTCACAATTCACTAAATTTAACATAACAAAAGGACATTCAGTAGGCTACGTTATTAGAGTCCTTGACCATGCGAAACAGCAGCAAAGCTCCTTATTCCTTGAAGCAGAACTCAGTATTTGAATCAGAGGAACGATCAGAGTAGGGATAGCTGCTATTTCACTTGCATCCCGTATTTAAAAATAAACAAGATAAAACATAATCAGCTAAGAACAGAATTTTTTTAGGAAATTGAAGAAAATAAAAGAAAAAAGGAAAATACTAACAATAATTGAAAAATTAAGGCATGGTTAATTTATTACCTCAAGGGAGATCTGTTTTTGATATTCAACCGAATCTTTTGAACCAGAGGGTGAAGGCAACATAAAGTTGATTGGCTTCGTTGTAATTTTGTTTTAAAAAAAAACAATTAGAAGATAAGGGAAAAAGAGAAGGAAAGTAAATTACACGCTAGTGGGAAAAAAATTAATTCATCATCTTAGTGGGATAGTGTACGATGACTTCCACTTTGTGCTCTGACCAAATATTAAACGCAGACAATATCTTTAATAACAAAAACCTACCCATAAACACAAAAATAATAAAATAATTGAGTTAACTTTTCTCAATAGTCTTCAGTTCCCTTTGCTTTCGAAACATTATATATATATGTATATATAAACAATGGGCCATGTGATGACATGTCATCAAAATATTAAGCAACGTCGTCTAGTGTCTCGTGTTGTGGCCACTCTAATTATTACATGGTAATAGTATCATTAATGTTTTTTTTTTTGCCAACATTATTAATGTTTAATATTTAGGCGTAGCCCTAAGTGGAAGTCATCAAATTCTATCCCATCCACTAGGGTGATATTGAATTGTTTTCCACCAGCGTGTAATTTACTTTCCTTCTCTTTTTATTCCCTTATCTTCTAACTTTTTTTATTCGGTTATTGAAAAACAATGGCAGTTTCGTTCTCTTGAGATAACTTAATTTATCATCTTAGTGGGATGGTATTTGTTGCCTTGCTTAACATAAAAGCTAGTTGTTCACCCAAAAAAAAAAGCTAGTTGAAAAATTTAATTTAATTTTAAATATAAGACTTCAATCTATTTTGTTATTCATTTTTTTCTCAAAATATCCTTATTGAATATAAATAATTTTCATTAAAAAATATTATAATCATCCAATGTAGATGATTAAAAAGGATAATTTAGAGAGGCCTGTTAACTTTGGAGATTTGAGAGAAATAAGAAGAAGAAAGATGGAAATCAAATGTATTATTCATGATAGAGCACTTGCTCATACAATCATTGTAACCCACTTGGGTTAACACTAATCATCCCTTACATAAGGGTGATGAACAAACTCCATAACCTATGAGGATTCTTGAGGTGCGAGACCCAAGTTAACCTCCTGTTTTTATGGTGAAGATTACATTATCTCACACCCTTAACCCATGCACTAAAACCCTATTTATAGAGTTTAACTCAATTATCTAGTTATATTTTTACCCTATCTTATCAAGGCCAATATACATATGTGACAAATAACCAACTTAACCAGTTCCTTTAATCTCCTTAAATTAGTTATCTAGCTCTTATATTGAGGATTAGAAAGTATTAAACAAACAATCTTTAATAACAAAAGCCCATACCTAAGCATAAAAATTGTAAAATAATTGAAAAGGAAAGGCAGCTCATCTTGACTCTTGAGAAAAGTCATTCAAAAGTTAAATTGAAGTTAATGTTAAAAATTGCTGGAAAAATCCTAAAAATTTAATTAAACCATGGAACACACATCAACCGAACAATATGATGTTTGATTCATCGCCATTAATAATTAATAATAGGTTAAAAAAAGTTAAGGTAGTCATCAACGATACCAACCCAATAAGATGAATTTTCCCCTCAGCGTGTAATTTACTTCGTTCTTTTTGTCTCATGTCTTTAATTATTTTAAAGACTAAATTTAGTTGTATAATTTCCTTCATCCTATGTATATAATGGAACTAATTATTAAGGGAAACAAGCTAAAGAACCTCTGAATTATGTAATTTTGATATTACATCAATGAATCCCCTCTACATAAAATCAAATCCAATCATAGTATGTGCTCATTAATGGATGGAGAAGCTTCTTAATTACTTCCTCATGTCCTAATTATAAGATCCACATTGTAGTATACTACAAAATGAATCTTATAATTAGGACCATAGTTAGTATATGTAGCTTCTTTCTTGCCCATCTCACCAATCTTCCTTTACAAACCCACATCCTTAATTCTCTACTGTTACAATTTAGGCCACATGGGATTTACAGTCTCTTGTTTTAAAGTAAGGATATAAATAATAATTAAAGAAGCAAGTCATTGCGCCTCAACGATTCATTGTGGGTGTAGTTTAAAAACATAACCAAGGCAACTGATTTGAGCCAACTTTGCTATTTAATGTTTATTAGTGAAGAGATTACTTGATTATGTAACCTAAACAAGGCATGACTCTGTTATTTCAAACAGTATAAACCACAATGGAACAGATCATCTCAAGTGTCAAAACAGAATGTTATTATTAGATCCTCTAAGCCAGCTGCTTTATGGCAATTCACTCTGTTGCAAGTTTCAAATTTTGATATCTTCAACATCCAAATTAATATCCAGTATGCCAACATGCATATAAATCTTACAGATTACAACATTATGCCCTGTTTTAATTGTTACACTTACACCTGAAATCTTTAAATACAGAGGCATGTAATATCTTTTTACTTGGTGCAATACATATCACGTGGAACACTGTTAATCAAAGGTTTCTTGACAACATGACACGCACTTGCACAGTAATAGCTATTATTGCAAGTTCTCTTCTCACAATTCTCTAAATTTAACATAACAAAAGGACGTTCACTAGGCAACCATAGAGTCCTTGACCGTAGTGATAGCTATTTCACTTGCATCTCGTCGACAAACCATATTGAGAAATAAACAAGGTATAACATAATCAGCTAAAGAATAAAATTTTTTAAATAGAGGCAGCTAATTTAAATAATGACAATACTTGAAAAATCAAGGAAGCTAATTTATTACCTCAACGGATATTTGTTACTGATACTCAGCTAAGCTTTTGAAACAGAGGGCCCAGATGACATAAAGTTGATCTACCAAGTGATCTAACCATCGAAAAAGCTGTCTCCATGCTCTGATGAAGAAGAGAGAACCACTAATTCCCCAGAAGCCCACTGCAAATCCAACCCCCATACGAAGATACAATGACTTTAGAAAGTTGTCGTCTTCATTTTTTGAGTCGTGAGTGTCTTCTTTTTTGTTCCACTTCTTTGGAAGAGGACCGCCACAAAGTGCATGGTTGCCAACAAAACTCCAAGACTCAAAACTTTGAATTTGGGTTCGCAGTGGAATTCGTCCCATAAAATTATTGTATGAGATGTTTAGATGAGCAAGAAAAGATAAACTGGAGATTGTTGAAGGAATTTCTCTAGAAAGTCTATTATAGCTGAGATCAAGAGATTCTAAGTTTTTCATGCCTCCAATTTCTTTGACAATCTTTCCATTTAAATGGTTTCTAGAGAAGTTTAAAGACCATAATGGATAGATACTGAACAATTCCTTAGGGATTTCTCCAGACAAGCAGTTAGCCGAAACATCAATAATAACACACGGAGAAGATGGAGGACGATGTTGGTAGTCTAATTCTCTTCCTTTAGTAAATATGCGCATTATTTCACTAGACTTATATGTGATATAATATGAATTTGTGATGTTGTGTAGGCAATGAGGTATGGATGCAGAAAGGTTATTATTAGCAAGATCAAGTATCATAAAAGAAGATAATAACTATCAAATTTTGCGCCACCGGATTTGGCAAACTTCCAAAAAATTTGTTTTGATCTAAAATGAGGTATTGCAAATCTGTCCAATTTAACAAGTTCAATGAAAATTTTCCAAAGAAACTATTATCACTCAAATGTAACAATAGAAGATTCAATGAAGCCAATGAAGGAGGAATTTCACTTGTTAGCTTATTGCTCTCCAATTTAAAGTACTCTAACTGTTTCCAATTGGCCCAACAATCAGGAAGTTCTCCACCCAAATGATTATATGATAGTCCGAGTCAACCAGCTTGCCTCCCTATTATAGTCTACGTGGCAGAATAATGAGAAAATAGATCCTAACAGAGTTATGAAATGCATAAAAGTAAGAGATATTTGTTGACAGTGTGACATTGGATATGTCATCACCAATCAAGTTGTTTGAGATATCAACAACATCAATTCCTGCTAAAAAGCTCCAAAATACATTTGCATCAATTGTTGAAATCCCTGATCTTGAAATGTCTAGATATTGTGGAGATCTCTGCCAATATAGCCATGTTAGAACATTAGGACCTATGCTTGTTTTACCCATATCCAAATCCTTGAGTTGAAATTGTGGGATCCAATCAGGATCAAAAACATATCTGAAAGCATTTGAACACAAGTTTAAATGGAACAAGTTTGAGAGACTAGCAAAATTCTTTTCTGAAACAACACCGCCCAAGGAATTGCCTCCAATATATAATTTAAGTAGGTCATTGAGTTGCCCAAGGCTTATTGGAAGATTGCCACTCAGTTGATTGCAGGACATATCTAAGTAATCCAAGGAAGAAATGTTTCCAAATAAATGATGGAATTGAACTAGAAAACAAATTATTAGAGATATCAAATTCCGTCGAATTTTCATTCTGGCCTAACCAGTCTGGAATTGATCCGTTAGGCTTATTATGGTTCAGCCTTAAACTGCTCAATTGTCGAAGCTTAAACGAGGCTACTGACACTTGCCCATGCAAGTTGTTTCTGCTGAGGTCAAGATCAAAGATATCTCTTGTGAAATTAAAGAACGAATTATGTAAAGGGTTGATAGAAAGATCAAGACTTACAAGCTTTGTAAAATTGACATGGTTGAGGAATGGATAATCTCTCAGACCACAACCTCTCAAGTGTAACTCGGATAGTGAAGGAAGCATATCCATATAGCGGAGCCATTTGCTTTCATTTCCAATATCAATGTAACTCAGGTCAAGATATTCTAAGGAAGAAAGTTGATAAAGCCAATGAAGATCATTTATGGTCAACTCTGGATTCATTGCAAAGTCAAGGTATTTTAGAGCAGCAAAGAATTTGGCTGATGGAGTACTCAGTAGTAAAATTATTGTGAAATAAGTCCAAGCTGCTGAGGAATTCAAGTTGAAGCAAACACAGATTAATCTCACCTCGTAATCCTTGGCCAGCAAGATGAAGCCCTGTGACTCTGCCTGTGTCGTTGTTACAGAGAACTCCAACCCATGAACAGCAATCTTCTTCACCAGCCCATGAGGTGAGTTTGTTTGAAGGATCTACAGCTCCTTCCCTGAAGATCAAAAGGAGTCTTTGATCATTATTGTTGCAACGAATTGAACTGTTTGTGCCACATTTGTTTCCGTCGAATGTTGCTGCAAATAGCAGAAAGGGCAAAACAAATGAAACTTGCGAAGTGAAACTCGCCATCATGTTTAACTTGAGTTGAATGAAATCATCATGGTATGTGTGTATCTATATATAATAATTTCTGAAAGTGAAAGCCAAAAGAAATATTGGAAAAGCTGAATTAAACGAAAACTTGAATGCCTAAAGAAGAGTATAACCATGCACGTTGCATTTATTACATATATATAATATATGATCCGTTTTGTCATTTACGTCCTTTTATTTCCATCCACATTGGCTTCCTATTAACATAAATGACACTTTCTTAGGGAAAAACAGTTCAACAACATATGAATTTGTGGAAACATTAGATGTATGCCCCCGCCACCCTCAAACCCCCAAAAAGGTAAAAAGAAAAATCAGCAGTTTCGACGTCCTTGCCTGCCGCTTTTATCTTTTTATGCTTAAAGTAAGTCTTTCCTCCCAAATGACACTCAATTTCAGTAAAGTCAGTCATTATTGAAAGGAACCCACAGAGGAGCTTATGTTTTCTCTTATCATCCTTCTCTGTTTGCTTTGATGAAAGAGATATTGCCAATTTCGTCAAACATCAATTAAAATGAACTAATGTGACCTAAGGCTAAGTTCAAGTTCTTCGATGGGTCTGGTTCCCCAAAAATCAAGGCTCATATGAGAAGCAATGGCCATCCTCCAGGGAACTTAGGTACTGGTAATAATTTAATTAATTTTTGTTATTCAATAACTGAGTTATTCCAATACGCAAGTCGTAACCTAACCAAGGCATGCAGTACACATATCATTGATGGCTCTGTTACTTCAAACAGTATAAAGCGTAATGGAAGAGAAACTTAAATGTCAAACAGAACGTCGTCGGATCCTCTGATCTTGAACTGTTTCCTTTGCCTGTTTCCTTAGGGTTCATCAATATTATATCTATATCTAATATATTTCAAAACCAAGTAGTCTTACTCTTATATGACTAGTTGAGTTTATTATTATTTTTTTTGTTGGCTAAAGCATACCTATTGAAGGCAATCCTAGTTGAAAGACTATCGGCACTAAATGTGAGTACTTCTTCTAGTGAAGATTCGAACCTTAGTTCGTCACGTTGTGAGGGATTAACCTCTTCCGTTAGACCCAATCTCGTTAGTGTTGAGTTTATTAATTGTTCTTCTGGTTACACTGCTCAATTTTTGTGTCTGTGTCTGTGTTTGCATACAAATTTTTAATTTTAATCATTTGAAATATAAACGATGTATGCGAAGCAGAACTCGATATTTGAATTAATTATTTTTATTTTTCTTTTACTCTAGAAATGAATAAATAATTCAATGAGCTCTTTGAAATTTGAATAAAAATTTGTGTGCCGAAGTTTTTTGATTATCATGTATAAGAAATTGGACAAGATTTCAGTATGACCGGAAAATAATAAAGTTCATGTACAATTCTTATAAGAAATTGTTAATTGCTTTTTCTCCTTTCCTATTCAAATGGCTTCCACTTCCAAACGCGTGAGCGGAAATTTAAAAGATAATGAAGTATTGCTTAAAAAATGCATGTATTTTTTATGGTCAAGACTTCCAAGTCTTCCCATCTTTCCGAGATATTGCCAATTTTTCAAACATAAATTGTAAACGCTGTTGTCTTGGGTTTCAAAAATCAACGCATGAAGTGATAATAAAAATATACAGTGTCTATAATTAATCATCATTTTGCAACAAAAATATACACAACCCTGCAATGCAGTGTAAGGAAATGAATTTCTACCTATGGAGTCACATATTCATTTATAAATGAATTGTTTAGTGCACTGTTGATTTGTTAAATAAATTAATTAAGGAATGAGTGAATAATAATCAAGTCAAATTAATAACTGTATTTACTCATACCACCAAGTTCTCTCAAACTGTGACTTGAGCTGTCGGGAGCGTGCTATATATCCTCCATATGCTCTTCCATATGTGGAGTGTTAACTCAGATACAGAGATTATTAATTTTCAATTCCGATCCAAAAGCATACTTGAACTTTTCATTATTGAAAGAGAAAATAATCAAAGTTTTAAAGTACAACGATATTCAACAAAAGGCTTTTCTGATACATGACAAGAGACACATATATTCTGATAAATATTACTACAAACAGAGATCATATGATGACTAATCAGTAGCAAACATTAGAGACCTTGGGCCATGTACGTATAGCCTCTCAATTCCCTGAAACAAAATATGAGATTTGAATGAATTTAAGTGGAAGTCGTTGGAATAGGACGTAGCATCTGATACAAAAGAATTAACTGGTGTTCGAAAAATGTTGTACCGGAATATGCTTGCTGCTGCGCTCGTATCCCGTACAGAAAACATATCCAACAATAAATCGAAAGTGTTAAGAAATGAATTTGTTTGGCGACAAGAAGATGAAAAGGAAAATGAAACCTTATTTAAAATAGTACATGATCTGAGATCGGTTAATTACCTGAACAGCAATCTGCTTGTAATTTTAATATTCATTGAAAGCTTTTTTCAACTTGAGCGCCACGATAACATAAAGTCGATCCACCAGAAGATGAAACAGTTGAAAAAATTTGTGTCTCCATGCTCTGACGAGGAAGAGAGAACCGCAGAACCCCCAAAAACCTGCTGCAAATCCCACTCCCATCCCAAGATATAATGACTTCAGAAAGTCATCATCTTCGTTTCCTTCAGCTGGCTTTGAGTCATTAGAAGCTTCTTGCTTGTAGCAGTTCTTTGGAAGAGGATCTCCACAAAGTTCATGATTGCCAATAAAACTCCATGGGTCGAAACTCTGAATTTGGGTTCCTAATGGGATTTGTCCAGTGAAATTGTTGTATGAGAGGTTCAAATAATCAAAAAAAGACAAATTAGAGATGGTCCAAGGAATTTCTCCAGAAAGCTTATTGTAGCTGAGATCAAGGGATTCTAATCCTTTCATGCCACCAATTTCTTTGGGAATCTTCCCAATCAAATGGTTTCGAGATAAGTTTAAGGACCACAGCTGAACTAAGTTAAACAATTCCTTAGGAATTTCTCCAGACAAATTGTTAGTGGAAAGATCAATGCTGTGCACAAGTAAAAATTTCTTGTAATCCAATTCTCTTCCTTTAGCAAAGACTGCTATTTCATATATAGGATAAAATTCCATAATCGGCCGCATGATTTTGTATAGGCAATGTGGTATATGTCCTGAAAGATTATTCTCAGCTAGTTCCAATATTGTCAAGCAGGTGAGGTTACATAACTGCGATGGAATATTGCCTATGAATCGGTTTCCCCTCAATTTGATGACATGTAAATTTTGTTGCATGGTATTTGGCAAAGTTCCAGAGAATTTATTTCCCTCTAAATTGAGGCATTCCAAATTTGTCCAGTTTGACAATTCCAATGAAAATTTTCCAAAGAAATTATTATGGCTCAAATCCAGCTGCACGAGGTTCACTAATGAAGCCATTGAGGGAGGAACTTTACCTGTTAGCTTATTACTCCCCAAAAAAAGGTACCGTAATTGTTTCCAATTGGCCCAACAATCAGGAAGTGCTCCGCTCAAATGATTATTTGATAAGTCCAAAGAAGACAACTGGCTTTCTCCGCTACTCTCTAGTTGGCACAATAACGAGAAAATGGATCCCGACAAAGAATTATGAGATGCATCTAAGGCAAAGATATTTGCTGATAGTGTGACATTGGAGATGTCATCGCTAATCAAGTTGCTTGAGATATCAACAGAATCTATCCCTAGTACAAAGCTCCAAAATATGTCCGCATCAATTTTTGAAATCCCTGATCTAGAAATATCTAGATCTGTTAAAGACCTTTGCGTATATATCCATGACGGAACATTAGGACCGATGCTTGTGTTACCCAAATGCAATGTCTCGAGTTGAAATGGTGGGACCCATTTAGGATCAATGTCAAATTTAAAACTCGTTGAACTTAAACCCAATCATGTTAAATTTGAGAAATTTGAAAAAGTCTTTTCTGTAAGAACACCAACCAAGAAATTGTGCCCAATGTCTAATTGATTTAAGCTATGAAGTTGTCCCAAGGTTTCTGGAAGATTGCCGTTCAATTGATTGTTGGACAAGCCTAAGTGGAGCAGGGAAGAAATATTTCCAAGAGATGATGGAATTACACCATAAAACAAATTACTTCCAATATCCAAGTATTGTAACCGCTCATATTGGCCTAACCAGTCTGGAATTGATCCGTTGAGATTATTATATCTCAAATCTAAATACTTGAGGTTCTGAAGATGGAGCAAGGACTTTGTTAATTGGCCATAGAGATTGCAATAAGTAAGGTCAAGATAATAGATGCGATAGGTGATATTAAAAAATGAATCAGGTAACTTTGACTTCACCATATAATTATTATTAGAAAGATCAAGAACTTCAAGTGACGTAAAATTGGCATAATCAAGGGAAGGAAAATCTGAGTCGACAATCCCACAAGCGTAACTCAGAAAGTGAAGGAAGCATGGCTATATGTTGGAGCCATTTGGTATCATTTCCAATGTAACTGCGACTCAGGTCAAGATATTTTAAGGAAGAAAGTTGGGAAAGCCAATGAAGGTCATTTATGACTAAACCATAATTATATGACAAGTCAAGATAACGCAAAGCAACAGAGAAACTTGCTGAGTGATTGGAAAGAGTAGGAAGTGATTGGTTGTGAGATTTGTGAGCATCAAAAGGAGATTTGGAGATTTGGCATGGTGGCATACTCACAGTTTTGAAGTCATTGTGGCTCAGGTCCAAGTGGTTGAGGAATTCAAGTTGAAGCACACACAGATTAATGTCACCTCGCAATGTATGATTGAAAAGAGAAAGCTCTGTGACTCTTCCGGTCATGTTGCAGTGAACTCCCTCCCATAAACAGCAATCTTCTTCGGTAGTCTAAGAAGAGAGTTGGTTGTTTGGATCAACCACTCCTTGTTTGAAGATTAAAAGCAGCCTTTCATCACTTTCATTGCAACTGATCACACTGTTGAATGTTGTTGTAAATAGCAGAAACAACAAAACAGAGGAAATTTGTTAAGCGAAGCTAGCCATTGTGGTAAGTTGGAGCATAGTGGCCTGAGAAGTCTTTGCATCATATATATATATATATATATTGGAAAATCAGAAACTACGTGGTAAATCTGCTGCAAGTCCTCTCATTCTCCTTTAAATTTTATGAAAAAAAAATATTATTTATAAAGCATGAATCTTATACTATGAATTTTGCAATATGTCTAATACGATGGGTAAGGGAGAAGTGAAGCATTGAGTGGCGTGTTGCAAGTGGGAAAGGGAGACTGATCGGCTTAACCGCCGTTTGTCTTTGGTCCTCCCTTTCCCACAGGCTCCCTCCTCCGTCCCACGTGTTTCGCCTTCTTTTGTTTTTTTTTCGTCGACAACACGTGATTTAATAGCGTAAAAGAGACAATCCACTCTACAAGGTCAAGCATACTAATTAGAATTTTGTATGAATATATAATTTTTTCCGGTGTAAAACTACATATAATTTCTTTAAATTATATTAATTTTAATAATATATCTTAAAATATTTTTTCAGTAATACCCTGTATTCTGAAATCATTTTTTTTTGGTACACTCAATATTCTACAATATTTTTTTAGTAATACTTAGTATCCCAAAAATATACTTAGCACAGTGTTACTAAAACCTAAAATTATTTTAAGATATTGAATGTTTCTAGAAAAATCTTTCAGGGTGCTGACTGGACCAGACGCACACTAGTGACCATTATTACAACATGTTCTCTTCTCACAATTCACCACTAACTATTCTGTGCCACACACTCCTATGCCGCTTGTTTCGAAACACACACCAAACAAGTCAATCAGAGTGACGACGAACAGAAGAAACCGGAGGATTAATATAGATTTCAGCAGCTTGTGAATTAACTGGAGCGTTAATTATTACTAATAATCATATCCAAGTCTCTCTTATCAGCAATTCTGGCCTCATGTTGAACTTTGAAGTAATCCTTATCAGCAATTCCATTGAAAAAGAAACTGGCATAAGTACACACAGTCACAGATGTTCTAATAAACCATTATTACAAACTCTTATTTTGTCACTATTTCACTAAATTTAAGATAAAGAAATGGCATTAATTAGAAGGAAACATTAAAGCTCTTAGCCAAGGGTAACTGCAGCAAAGCTTCCTGGCTATAATTCCCCGAAGCAGAATATATATGAGACTTGAATTTGGGACAAAGGCACTGGAAAAGTTGTAGATATATAGATCAGTCTTCAAAGCGTTGCACCCACTGCTTCATACTACAGTTGCGTCCCAAAGACAAAACATATCGATCAATAAAGAAAATAAGAAAAAACCAGTTAAGAACTAAATTTGTTTAACTAAAAGAAGATAAACTTTCATGCAAATAAATGAGAGAGACGACTTTGTTTTTGAAATATATGATAGTTAATCCATTAACTCAGTAGCAACTTAATTTGTCCCAAATATTCGACCGAAAAAGCGTCAGGGCCACATTGACATAAAGTTGATGAACCAAACTGTCAAATAATCGGAAAAATCTATGTCTGCATGCTCTAATGAGAGAGAGAAAACCACAAACTCCCCAGAAGCCTGCTGCGAATCCAACTCCCATCCCAAGATGCAATGACTTGAGAAAGGTGTCATCTTCATTTTCTTCGACCGCCTTTAACTTGTGAACTTCTTTCTTGTTACACTTGCTTGAAAGAGGGTCTCCACAAAGTTGAAGATTGCCAACAAAACACCAAGAATCAAAACTCTGATTTTGAGTCCCTAAAGGGATTTGTCCCTAAAGAATCATTTATTCGCAAGTGATAATTATGTGAAAGATCTGGTTGAAGCAGAGTAAAAGATTTGCAGACATGGCGTTGAGGAATACCCACGGAGTCAAATCGATTATGGCTCTGCAACTCTGCCAATGACATCACACAGAACTCCGGACCAGAAACAACAATCTTCATGACTAGTCCATGAAGAGAGTCTGTTTAAAGGATCCACCACTCCTTGTTGGAAGATCAAGAGTGGTCCTTGATCATTCTCGTTGCAACGAATCGCATTGTTTGTTTTACTATGCCTCTATCGAACGTTGTTGAAGTGAAGCTGACCATCATGGCTGATTTGAGTAGAATGAACACAACCTGGTCTTTATGTGATATATATATTTATATATATATATATATATGTATATATAGGGATCAAAGTGAACAATTAGTTTTTTCAAGTTTATAAGAGGTTAAAAACTTTAAAAAAAACTTTTAAAATTTTTTTTTTTGTTTTGGGTTCAAAAACTTGGACCAATTTACTGCGGACTAAAACTAAACAAAAGTCTCAACTAAGAAGCCATTTCTTTTTTTGGGCCAATTTTTATACTGCAAACACCATATTAGATTCTCCAATTACGCCCAAATTTAGACACGTTCAATTGTAAATCACAAAATCTTAGTTTTAAATCTGCACTAAGAACCAGTTATAAATATAATCCCATAAAAATGTCATTCTCCTCTTATATCTACAGTCGGCGCTCATCAGATTGTGTAGGAAATAAGATTGACCAATACAACGCTAATTGCTAATTTTTGTTTTCAAGGAGAGATTAGGAAGGGAATATTAAAATTTGTGTTTTATATTGATATTAATCTCCCTTACAGTGCCCAAACAAGCAAGTAATTGTGCCATGTAATTGGAGCAATCAATCTTAGAGGTTTAATAAATTATAGGAAATGCTAATAATGTAATTTTTTTACCGATTTTCCCGTTCAAGAAGAGATTAGGTAGGGAATATATCTCAAGTTTTGTTTTTCATTACTCATTTTGACCAGTTGATAGCTACGCCTACTTGTTAACTACAAAATTAATTACTTTTACCAAAAAAAAAAAAAAACAGTGCACTGTTATGCTACATTGTTTAATAGTGGGACCGATTATAATGTAGAACGGCCAAGTCCAAAAACTAATCAATACAAGAGTTCAAGTGTAATTAAGGGATCTCTCAAACCCTATTATCTGTTAATGACTCTGTTATTTCGTACAGAATAACCCAACATGAAACAGAGCATCTCAAGTATGTCAAACAGAGCAATCCACATGAAACACTATTTATCAGAAGTTTCTTAACAATATGAGACACACATACAATACTCACTAACAACTATTATATGAACATATTCTCTTCCCACAATTCACTAAATTTAAAATAACAAAAGGTCATTCAATAGGCAACATCTGAGTCCTAGACACGCGTAACAGCACTCCTCAGCTTATTGCTTGAATCATAACTCAATATTTGAATGAGAGGAACGATTAGAGTAGTGATAGCTATTTCACTTGCATCCCATATTGAAAAATAAACACGATAGAATAAAATCAGCTAAGAATAAATTGTTTTGGTAAGTAGAAAAGGATGCGATGGAAAAAGGAAAATGAAATTTCATTAAAATAATAACAATGGTTAAAAAATCAGGGCAGCTAATTTATTACCTCGAGGAAAATTTGTTGTTGATATTCAACCATGATGAGAGTTGGTTGGTTGGATCAACCACTTCTTGTTTGATGATGAAAAGCAGACTTCGATCATTTTCATTCCAACTGATCGTCCTGTTTAATGTTGTAGGAAATAACAGAAACAACAAAAGAAAAGATATTTGTGAAGCGAAGCACGCCATTGTGGGAAGTTTGAGTAATGAGTATAATGACCTAATGAAGCCTATAAATGATATACCTATATATACTGGAAAATTTGAAGTAATAAACAAAAATTTAAATGCTTAAAAATTTATAATCGCATGATTTTCATTGTGAAGTCCAATAGCTTAGTGATTTTTTTTTTTAAATTTTAAAATGCTTGCAAACAAAACAAATCCTGCACGGGCTCCATGAATGGCATGGAGCTTAATTATTATATTTTCTATTTTTATTAATTACTGAAAGGGGCATATATACAGACACATATTGAAGTGAAAGTGAATTAATTTTATTTATTTTCGTTTTACTCCAGAAATGGATAACTTAAGTGAGATCATCGAAATTTGAACAACTATTTATGCGCTGTAGTTTGATATTTATGTACAAGAAATTGGACAAAATTTTGCTCCAGACACACCACAAATTAAAGTCATACCTCTCTAATTCAAGTCATATTATATGTTGAAATAACAAAACAAAGGAAGGTTGCAAAATGAAACTGTCATCCTGATTTGCTTGGGTAGAATGAACTCAATTAAGCCTTTATTTACAAGATCAGGATGTTTATAAGTTGTGACAATTACTGCAAACAAATTGCTGCTTCAAAAATATTGGAAAAATCAAAATAAACAAATATTTAAATGCCCAAAAAATTCTGTAACCACATCTTTTTTATACTGACGCCTTTTAATACTTCCAAGTCTTCCCATCTTTTCAAAGAAAAGTTGAAACATTAATAAATTCATTTTCACAACTAATCTTTTTCAATTTCCACATCCAAATCATTTGAACCCTTCAAAAATTAAAAGTTGCTTAAACAACAAATTAAAGATTTTTTTCCCATGACATATAATATAAATAGACCATTCACTTAGAGGCTATATGTGAATACAACTTTTAGCTTTTAAAATTACTATAAATTGTTAGTTAGAACTTTTATGATCAGTTCATATTTTTATTAACAACATCAACAACAAGGTGTTACACTGCACACAATCATATATATCTTGAAATTCATCAACAGTTTGGGGGCATTTTTTTTTTAATTTCAAAACGACAATTTTTGCAAATTATTCAAACGTAAGTCGAATATTTATTTATTGAAAAAATAATTAGTTTTATTTTTTTAGCTATGAAATGAAAAAATTAACTCATTATATATGTGCTCTTGGAATAAATATTCATTACTTTTGCATCATAAGTTTTTCCCCCCCGTTCAAGCATCATAAGTTTGATTTCTGGGGAGTTATTGCTATTACGCGGACAAAAAAACAAATTGCAAATGTTTAAGTACGGCCTAAAAATTGAGTTTAATTACACCTAATTTTTTTTTAAAAAAAAGAAATAACTTTAGAAAATAACAAAGTCTGGATATAAAAATTGAGTAGAAGTACATACGCCCTCCCAAAGTGGAGAAAAGAATTTATCGTAAGGAAAGAGTTGATATCAGCAAGAATAACGTCCACTGTGGAAAATAAAAGCTTTTTTTCTAAAAAAATTAAAGATATAGTTACGCTATAGGCAGTTTTAGTTTTTTAGTTTTATTTTGTTAAAAAAATTCTGAAGGTAGAAGGGAACGTAAAAAGATTGGTTAGTAGCATTTTAGTATTTTTAAATTTATATATTCTAAATAATTATAATTTGTATGATCCTTCTCAATTAATATTATATTCCTTTTGTAAAAATAAATATCATGTCCCATACGTCCTTGGTTTTAATTTTCTAAAAAGCTGATCAAAAAAATTTTCTAAAAAGATTAAAAGACAAAGGAAAAAAGAAAAGGAAAGTAAATTACACAGTGGTGGAAAAAACCTAATTCATCATCCCAGTGGGATGGTATAAGATGAGTTCCCACTTTGTGCTGTGATCAAATATTAAACGTAAACAATATCTTTAATAACAAGAACCTATACCTAAACACAAAAATAATCAAATTGTTGAATTAACTTTTCTCAGGAGTCTTGAGTTCCCTTCGATTAATCACTTTTATCAGTATATATACATAGGTGTGTGTGTGTATATCTATATCTAAACAATGGGCCACGTGATGACAATTCATCACGATATTAAGCCACGTCATCTAGGGTCTCATATGTTGTGGCCTCTCTTATCACATGGTATTGATGTTAATAATGTTTAATATTTGGGCTTAGCACTAAGTGGAGGTCGTCAAATGTTTTCCACTAGCATGTAATTTACTTTCCTTCTCTCTTTATGCCTTTATTTTCTAACCTGTTTACGCGGTTATTGAAAAGCAACAGCAGCTTCGTTCCTTTGAGAAAAAGTCATTCAAAAGCTAAATTAAAGTTATTGTTAAAAATTGCTGGGAAGGTCCTTAAAGTTGATCAACATGTCTCTGTTTCCAAAGTTCTACTGAATTATTACTTGGTATGGAGTGTATATAAATTTATTGAGAAAAGTGATTAATAAAAAGCAATGGGAACTTAAGACTCTTAAGAAAAGTTAAAAATGAAGGAAAGTATTTGACGACTTCCTCTTTCTGGGGTGCCCAAATACTACTCTCCTCTTCAATATAAAAACTAGTTAGGAAATTGGATATACCCATACATCAAAATCAATTCACTTTGTTCTTTATTTTTTTCCAAAATATCCTTATTAATTATAAAAAGTTTTCACCAAGGGATAATCTCAATTATCCAATGTACATGATTAAATATGATAATTTAGGGAGACCAATATATATTTGTGACAAATAAACAACTTAACTAATTTTTTTAATATCCTCTAATTAGTTATCTAGCTTTTATATTAAGAACCGGAATTAGTATTAAACACATCTTTAATAGCAAAAGCCTACGCTGAAACACAAAAATTGTAAAATAATTGAAAAGCAATGGCAGGCTTGCGAAAAGTCATTCAAAAGTTGCATTGATGAAGTTAATGTTAAAAATTGCTGAAAAATACTAAAAATTTAATTAAATCGTGGAACACACAACAACTAAACAATATGGTGTTTCATTCATTATCATTAGTAATTAATAATTAGGTTTCCCCTCCTTAAAAAGGTGTTTCTTCTAGGATTTGAACTCGAGACCCAAAGAAATTTAGCGAGACCTTATATTATTATTAGACCAATTCTTTATCAGTATAATTTCCTTCATTCTATATGTATATATACTTAATCTAATTATTAAGGGGAAAAAAAGCTAAAGAACCTCTGAATTATGCAATTTTTATATTACATAAATAAATTCCCTCCTCATACCAAATCAAATCCAATCATAATATGTGCTCATTGACTGATGGAACACACACGGAGGAGCTTCTCAAATTACTTCCTTAAATTCGAATTATAAGATTCATTTTGTGGTTCAAATTGCACCATAAATTGAATCTTCTAATTAGAATCGGAGGTAGTATATGTATCTTCTTTTTGGCCCGTCTCACCGATATTCATTTACAAACCCACATTCTTAATTCTTGATTGTTACAATTTTAACTGTATGGGAATTACAGTCGCTTGTTGTAAAGTAAGAATATAGATAATAATTAAAAAAGCAAGTCATTGCGCCCCAATAATTCATTGTGAGTGTAGTTTAGAAACCCAAACCAAGGCATCTTATTTGAGCCAACTTTGTTATCTAATGTTTATTATGCTTAGTAGTGGAGAGATTATATTATTTGATTATGTAACCTAACCAAGGCATGACTCTGTTATTTCGAACACAATGGAACAGAGCATCTCAAGTGTCGAAACAGATCCTCTTAGCCAGCTGCTTTATGGTGATTCACTGTGTTGCAAGTTTCAATTTTTGATATCTTCAACATCGAAAATGCTTTATCAATTCCAAAAGCATACCATTAAACAAAAGGCTTTTCTGAGACATGACAAAACACACAGATACTCTGGTAACTATTTTACTACAAAGTAGAGATATGACAATCTTTAGGAAACATTAGAGAGCTCGGACCATGTATGGCTGCAGCAAACCTCTCTATTCTCTGAAACAAAATATGAGATTTGAATGAATTTAAGAGGAAGTCATTGGAATATAGCATGTAGCGATTAGACGTGTAATTCAACTGACAGGTAATTCAAAGCTAGAGGAAGGAGTTCAGTAGCTTCAGAGGTGGAAGAGGTGCATAGGTTGCTAAGATGAGAGAGAGCGGATGACCTGGGGTTTTTTCTTTATAGATCCGGTAAAAATAAATAAATATTGTACCGGAATATCCTTGCTGCTGCGCTTGTATCCCTTACAGAAAACATATCGAAAAATAAAGGGAATGTGTTAAGAACTGAATTTGTTTTGTGGCAAGAAGAAAGCGAAAAGGAAAATAAAACCTTATTTGAAAAAAAGTAGATGATCTCAGATCGGTTAATTACCTCAACAGCAATCTGCATGTAATTTAATATTCATTGGAAGATTTTTTCAACTTGAGGGCCGCGATAACATAAAGTCGATCCACCAGAAGATGAAACAAATGAAAAAATTTGTGTCTCCATGCTCTGATGAGGAAGAGAGAACCACAAACTCCCCAGAAGCCTGTTGCAAATCCTACTCCCATCCCGAGATAAAATGGCTTCAGAAACTCATCATCTTCATTTTCCTTCGGCTGGTTTTGAGTGATTAGAAGCTTCTTTCTTGTAGCACTTCTTTGGAAGAGGATCCCCACAAAGATCATTTCCAACAAAACCCCATGGGTTGAAACTCTGAATTTGGGTTCCCAATGGAACTTGTCCAGTGAAATCGTTGTATGATAGGTTCAAATGACTAAGAAAAGACAAATTAGAGATTGTTGAAGGAATTTCTCCAGAAAGCTTATTGTAGCTGAGATCAAGAGATTCCAAGTCTTTCATGCCACCAATTTCCTCGGGAATCTTCCCAATGAAATGGTTTCGAGACAAATTTAAGGACCACAGCTGAACTAAGTTAAACAACTCCTTAGGAATTTCTCCGGACAAACTGTTAGTGGAAAGATCGATGCTATGCACCTCTGAAAAGTACTTGTAATACAATTCTCTTCCTTTAGCAAAGACTTTTATTCCATGTATCGCATAATATTGCATGATCGGCTGCATAATGTTATATAGGCAATGTGGTATAGCTCCTGAAAGATTATTATCAGCAAGATCAATATTGTCAAACCAGTAAGGTTCCATAACTGTGGTGAAATATTGCCTATAAATTGGTTTCCCCTCAATTTGATAACGTATAATCTTTGTTTAATGGTATTTGGCAAAGTTCCAGAAAATTTATTTCCCTCCAAATTGAGACATTCCAAATTTGTCCAGTTTGACAAGTCCAATGAAAATTTGCCAAAGAAGCTATTATGGCTCAAGTCCAGCTGCAGAAGATCCATTAACGAAGCCATTGAGGGTGGAACTTTACCTGTTAGCATATTACTTCCCAAATTAAGGAATCTTAATTGTTTCCAATTGGCCCTACAATCAGGAAGTGCTCCTCTCAAGTGATTATACGATAAGTCCAAGTCAACCAACTTGCTATCCCTGTTACTCTCTAAATGGCACAATAATGAGAAAATAGATCCTATCAATGAGTTATGAGATGCGTAAAAGTAAGAGATATTTGATGATAATGTGATATGGGATACGTCTTGACTAATCAAGTTGTTTGAGACATCAACATAGTCCAATCCTACAATGAAGCTCCAAAATACGTCTGCATCAATTTTTGAAATTTCTAAAGCAGAAATGTCTAGATATCTTAGAGACCACTGTGTATATAGCCATGTTAGAACATTAGGACCTATTCTTGTGTTACTCATATCCAAATGCTCAACTTGAAATGGTGGGACCCATTTAGGACCAATGTCAAATTTCAAATTTGTTGAACCAAAGCTCAATGATGTTAGACTTGAGAAATTCAAAAAATTATTTTCTGTAAGAACACCCTCCAAGAAATTGTGTCCAATGCCTAAATGATTTAAGTTATAGAGGTGTCCAAGGGTTTCTGGAAGGTTGCCACTCAATCGATTGCAGGACAAGTCTAAGTAGAACAATGAAGAAATATTTCCAAGAGATGATGGAATTACACCATAGAACAAATTTTCATAAATATCCAAGTATTGCAACCGTTTATATTGACCTATCCAATTTGAAATTGGCCCTTTGAGATTATGAGTCCAAATCTAAATGCTTGAGTTTCTGAAGATTGAGCAAGGCTTTTGGTAGTTGGCCATAAAAACTACAACCGCTAAGGTCAAGATGATAGATGTGATGGGTGATATTGAAAAATGAATCAGGTAACTTTGACTTCATCCTATAATTATTAGAAAGATCAAGAACTTCAAGTGATATAAGATTTATATAATCAAGGGATGGAAAATCTCTGAGTCCACGTAAGTGTAACTCAGAGAGTGAAGGAAGCATGGCTATGTGCTGGAGCCATTTGGTATCACTTCTAATATAACTTAAGCTAAGGTCAAGATATTTTAGGGAAGAAAGTTGAGAAAGCCAATGAAGGTCATTTATGGCTAAACCAAAATTAGATGAAAAGTTAAGATAACGTAGAGCAACAAAGAAATTAGCTGAGTGATTGGAAGGAGTAGCAAGTGATTTGTTGTGAAACTTGTGAGCATCAAAGGGAGATTTGGAGATTTGGCATGGTGGCATACTCACAGTTTTGAAGTCATTGTGGCTCAGGTCCAAGTGGTTGAGGAATTCAAGTTGAAGCACATACAGATTAATGTCACCTCGCAATGTATGATTGAAAAGAGAAAGCTCTGTGACTCTTCCGGTCATGTTGTTGCAGTGAACTCCCTCCCATAAACAGCAATCTTCTTCGGTAGTCCAAGAAGAGAGTTGGTTGTTTGGATCAACCACTCCTTGTTTGAAGATTAAAAGCAGCCTTTCATCACTTTCATTGCAACTGATCACACAGTTGAATGTTGTTGTAAATAGCAGAAACAACAAAACAGAGGAAATTTGTGAAGCGAAGCTAGCCATTGTGGTAAGTTCGAGAATAGTGGCCTCAACGTGAGAAGTCTTTGCATCATGTACATATATATATTGGAAAATCAGAAACTACGTGGTATATCCGCTGCACGTCCCCTCATTCTCCTTTAAATTTTATGGGGAAAAAATATTATTTATGAAGCATGCGGCTTATACTACGAATGTTGCAATATGTCTAATATAATGGGTAAGGTAGAAGTGAAGCATTGTGTGGCGTGTTGCAAGTGGGAAAGGGAGACTGATCGGCTTAGCCGCCGTTTGTCCTGGGTCCTCCCTTTCCCACAGCTTTCCTCCTCCGTCCCACGTGTTTCGCTCTGTTTTTTTCCTGACAACACGTGATTTAATGGCAATAAATAAAAATGGAGACAACCCACTCCACAAGCATACTAATTAGAATTTTGTATAAATGCATATATTCCGGTGTAAACATACATATAATTTCTTTAAATTATATTAATTTTAATAATATATCTTAAAATATTTTTTCAGTAATGCCCTGTATACTGGAATGAATTTTTTTGGTACAATCAATATTATACAGTATTTTTTTAATAGTGGTTAGTGTTCCAAAAATACACTTAGCACACTGTGTTACTGAAACCTAAAATTATTTTAAGATACTAAATGTTTCTAGAAAAATCTTTCAGGGTGCTGACTAGAGCCAAAAATTATCTTAAGATACTGGGTGCTCTTGAAAGAAATATTTGAGAATGTTGACTATATTTTTAGGATATTAGGTGTTACTGAAAAAACAACTTATGGTGCCGCCAAAAATTATTTTAAAAAAGTGAGTGCTCTCGAAAAATATTTTAGTGTGCCAATCGTGTTTTAGGATGGGATACTGAGTGTTATTAGAAACATAATACTTTTTTTTTTTTTTCATGAAGAGATTGGGTAGGGAATGTAAAATTTTTATACCATTCAATAGTGATATTAATGCCCCTCGCACTGCAGAAACAGGCAAATGACTCTGCCTCAATAACCAAGGCATGACTCTGTTATTCCAAACGGCATAAACCAAAATGGAACAGAGCAATCACATGGAACACCATACATCAGAAGTTTCTTGCTATCTACTACGCTTGATACTTAACATAAGAATTAATTTAATTTTAAATATAATATTTCAATTCACTCCTTCTTTCATGTTTATCTATTTTTCTTAAAAAAATAGTTCTTGTAGTAGTTGTACATATTAAATGTTCTATCAAATAGTAGTTCTAACTAATACATATAATTAATAATAGTATTTTAGGAAAGATAACACCTCTTTATAACAAATAAGTAACTTAACTAATTTTCTTGATCTACTCAAATTAATCAATTAACTTTTATATTAAGAATTAGAGATAGCATTATGTCATGTAAAAGTAGAGTACTAACCAAGTGCACAAGACTCTCAATCTCTCATAAGGTGGAGCCTGAGAAGGGACATAGCTAATGAGAAGGAACCAGGCTTGTTAGCACTGGGGAATATAATACTCTTTCGGTCTTTAATATAAGACCTATTTAACTAGTTTAATTAAATTAAAAAAGTTAGGTAAGTTAGTTAATTATAAGAAATACTCTATGACATGTTTTTTTTTAAAATACCATAATCATCTTTTCCTACTTGATTATGATTGAGAGAATATCCATAGGGTGATTTTAAAAAATTGATAAGTATAAGAAGTATGTCTTATATTTAGAATCAAAATCAACTTAATAATTAGGTCTTATATTAACGTGACAATAAATCCGATAATCTGCTTAAAATCAGAAACCCTTTGCAATCCTGTCATTCCATGAGATTTTGCTCGGTGACAACTGGGAAATAGAGAGTAGTGTCATTCTACAAGATTAACCCTCGGCAGAAGCACTGAATCAAGTTACTCAATATTTGGCGATTCTGCACAAACACAATTCAAAATTCTACTTTGCTATGTGATTTTCTCTTCTGGGGTTAGGTGATTTTTTTTTTTTGGTAGCGGGAGAACAAAAGCGGGTCCGAAATGTTGGTTCTCTAAAATCATTTTCTATAAAGAATCAAACATCTTGATGCCTTTACACAAACAGAAAAGAGGGAAAAAGTTAATATATGAGCAAATTAAAGAAATTTTAAGGGGTTGGCTGAAATAAAGGAAGCCTTGAGGGGACAGAAACTAATGGATTCTGTCTCACGAAGGCAATGTTAACTAAGTTGCGCCACTGTTAATGCTGAAGGCCCAGGGGTTGTCCGAGCATTCAAAAACCTTGAAAACCTTAAAAGCCTTACAATGTCCTCGTTTCTTTGCAAGAGACCAAATTACAGTAAATTTCCAGACTTAAAGTTGCCTACTCTAGGAATTATTTATAAAAGCCTATAACCATTATGAAAGGGAAACAGGAAAAAGAAAACGAGATAAATATTAAATAGCAAATTGCGTCCTTTGGTATCAAGATAGTATCCACTCTTGTATTATCAAAACTACATCATAACGGCATCAGCTCACACATCTTAGGGGTCCGCTGAGGGGGAAAAAAATCAGATAACTAGAACCAACATCCACTCAACACATAAACCAAGTGGTTTCTTCAGGAAATTTTCATGCCAAAACATAAGGTTCAATGAAACTCTCATGATTATTTTCAATAAAAACAAAAAGGAGACACCACCCCAAAAAAGTACAAGCCCCATTGTCAAACCCAATAACCCTTCTCCAGGTGACACCAGTAGAGATTCCAGCACAAATGGACAGATTTTTCTAGACATCAAACATAGTCAAGAAAATGAACTTCTGTGTTCATAACATGTGAAAAACATGATTTGCTAAGTTGCTGTAAATTATATGTATGTTGATCTTTGAGATTATTGTAAACAGATTTCAAATAGGTTGTACAGAATAACTAAGATATGTATGATATAATATGCCAATGTCTCTGTTTTTCACTTTTTCTGAACAGCATATGCCAAAATGGAACAGAGCGACTAAAATGTCAGAGTGATGACAATTGTACAATAAATCCAATAATCTATTTAAAATCGGAAACCATTTCCAATCCTGTAATTCTATAAGACTTTGTTCAGTGACTACTGGGAAATACTGAAATAGAGAGCCTGTCATTCTACAAGATTAACCATCGGCTTAGCAACATATGATCTTTTTCTAGGGAGGCGCTTTATAGAGGTAAATTGTTAGAGTGCTTGACCGCCTTAAATGTCACAAACATACATAAGGAGAAGTGAGATCCAAGATTCCTACAAAAATAGAATTGTAATCAATTACAAGCATTCTAAATGTAGGAAATAGAGTTGTACTTGAGTAAAAGCCTCAAGCAACTTCCATAAGTTGTTGCCAACTTGGGCAGTTTCTTTGTCAGATGGAATAACTAAATCTTAAGTGCCTGGGCATCATCACCCAAGGTATTATCTAGAACACCGAAAATGAAAGATATTAGCGCACCAAATTGCCCCCCAGATCATTCCCGTGCCAACGTCTTCTTATCAAGAAGAGTAATTGTCTAATTGATAAATCAAACCAAAAGTAGAACATAGCACTTAAATAACATGTCAAAGAAGCAATTGAAGTGGTTAGGTCGAAACCAACAAACACAAAATGTAAGTTTCAAGTGCATGTAGGACCAAACTCTCAACTAAAAGAATATTGAATTCTTTTTTTTTTTTTTTGGGTTATACATCGCCCGGTAATCTGGCGCCTATTGGCAACCGACTAATCCGGACTTGAGGGGTAGGAGTGCCGCAGTTTTCCAGCGGTGGTTGTCCCCTCTCCCAGCAAGAGCGCTTCCCGGGATTTGAACACATGTTCTCATCCTTACGTGGAGCGAGCCCACTTACCAGCTCGACCAACTGCTCATTGGTAAAGCATATTGAATTCTGTTCTCAACATTCTCTTACCAATTGCAGGATTAACTTTAGTATAGATGCGGTGGTTTATAACAATATGAACTCCAATCATAATTACGTTAGAATGTGTTCCTTTTGTAAATTCTATACCAATCATGCTTCAATAAATCAGAAGCCAGAAACACAATCTTCCATTGAGTAGCATTACAAAGTTAATCATAAGCAGCGTAACTAAATTTTATAACAGCTAACGAGCAAAAAGAGGTAGCCCAAAAAATAGGAACCTTCATGATATACTTAAAACAAAATCTGCTGGAGGACACGAGAAGAAAAACATACAATATGGAACCAAGGACACTTCTCTACTCAGCAGAAGCAGCCTTCTTAACTCTTTTGGCTTTTACTTTCACTTCTCCACTTTCCTTCTTCTTCTTGCCAGAAACTTCATCCTTAGTAGGTAAATCATTTTCCTTCTTTCTCTTAGAAGACAAGCCATCTTTCTTACTTTTATCCTTGTTCTTGGCTGCCTTCTTCAATTTTTTCTCACTATTCAGCTCACTAAGAACCTCTTTGTTAGTTATTGATCCTATCCTTTTCTTCTTATCTAGCACTGGTTCAATAGTCATTTCATCATTTTCATTATCTTCTTCTACATCCCCATCTTCCTCAACATCTGACTCATCTTGACTGAATTCGTGACCTATATGATCATCCATGTACCGAACCTCATGGATCCTCCCCTTCTTCTTACCAATTTTAAGATCCTTCTTAGCCACATCCTTCTTCTTATCTTGCACATCCTTATCCTCTTCCTTAGCTTCCTCTTTTCTCTTAGCTCCCTCCATCTTCAATTCCATATTAGGATGAAAAGACCGCACAGAACCCCACCCTTTTGGCATGAGCTCCACATATCATTGATTGCCGTAGCCACATTAGCAACAATCTCGTCCCTTTCCACTGACACTTTGGCCGACTCTCACAACACTACACACGTACCTGTCCTGAGGAAAAACAACGCGGACGAGCATGCCCTCTCAATCTCCTCCTTCCAATTTTTATGTAGAACAGCACATTCTAATTATTTTATGATTATTTTTGTAAGATGCACATCACCGAATGTCTCACCAATTCGTCATACTCGCGTGTTGCGGTGCATATGATTTGAGCCAAGTTTGTTACTTAATGTTTATTATGTTTAATAGCTGAGAGATTATATTATTTGATTACGTAACCTACCAAGGCATGACTCTGTTAATCTCAAACAGTATAGACCACAATGGAGCAGAGCATCTCAAGTGTCAAAACAGAATGTTGTTATTAGATGATTTGATATTTGATATTTGATTTGATTCACTGTGTTGCAAGTTTCAAGTTTCGATACTGAAATCTTTCAATACAGAGGCATATAATATCTTTTTACTTTGTACATTCACATCTCACATGGAACACCATTCATCAACAGGTTTCTCAACAACACGAGACACACATAATTGTTATTACAACATGTTCTTTTCTCACAATTCACTAAAGTTCAGATAACAAAAGGACAACTGATAGGTTTGATCATGCTTCGCTGCAGCAGAACTCCTTATTCCTTGAAGCAGAACTCAGTATTTGAATAACGATCAGAGTAGTGATAGCTATTCCACTTGCACCCGATAGGCAAACCATATTGAAAAGTAAACAAGATATAACACAATCAGCTAAAGAACAATATTTTTTAAATGAAGGAAGCTAATTTAAATAATAACAACACTTGAAAAATCAAAGAAGCTCATTTATTACCTCAAGGGATATTTGTTACTAATAGTCAGCTAAAGCTTTTGAAGAAGAGGGCCCAGGCAACATAAAGTTGATCTGCCAAGTGATCATACCATCGGAAAAATTTGTATCTCCATGCTCTAATGAGGAAGAGAGAAGCACAAGCTCCCCAAAAACCTGCTGCAAATCCAACCCCCATACCACGATACAATGACTTTAGAAAGCCGTCATCTTCATCTCCTTTAGCTAGCTTTGAGTCATGAGTTTCTTCTTTATTATTTCACTTATTTGGAAGAGGATCTCCACAAAGTTCAGGATTGCCAGCAAAACTCCAAGAATCAAAACTCTGAATTTGGGTTCCCAATGGAATTTGTCCAACGAAATTGTTGTATGAGAGGTTCAAATAATCAAGAAAAGACAAATTGGATATTGTTGAAGGAATTTCTCCAGAAAGTTTGTTGTAGCTAAGATCAAGAATTCCAATTTCATGCCTCCAATTTCTTTGGGAATTTTCCCAGTCAAATAGTTTCGAGACAAGTTCAAGGACTGTATTTGACTGTTACTAATTAGTTCTTCAGGAATTTCTCCACTCAAACTATTAGCAGAAAAATCAATAACACCACCCGTAGAATATAGAAGACGGTCAAATGTTTGGTAGTCAAATTCTCTTCCTTTCATAAATATTTTCAAGATTTCATTAGGCAACACTATCACAGAATTTGGAGGCGTGATGTTGAATAGGCAATGAGGTATGGATCTTGAAAGCTTATTTTTAGCCAGATCAAGTATTGTAAAATGAGAAAGGTTGCATAATTGTAATGGAATACTGCCCACAAATTGATTGGCCCTCAATTTAATAAGTACCAAATATTGCGCTATGGGATTTGGCAAACTTCCAGAAAATTTATTTTTCTCTAAAATGAGGTAATTCAAATTGGTCCAATTTAGCATGTCTAACGAAAATTTGCCAAAGAAATTATTATCACCCAAATCCAACAAATGAAGATTCAATGAAGCCAGTGAGGGAGGAACTTCACCTATCAGCTTATTACTCCCTAAATTAAGGTAACGTAATTGTTTCCAATTGGCCAAGCAATCAGGAAGTGCTCCGCCCAAATGATTATATGATAAGTCCAAGGAACTCAACATGCTCTCTCCGTTGCTCTCTAGTTGGCACAATAATGAGAAAATAGATCCTGATAAAGAGTTGTGAGATGCATCAAAGGAAGAGATATTTGCTGATAGTGATACATTGGATATGTCATCACTAATCAAGTTGTTTGAGATATCAACAACATATATTCCTACTACAAAGCTCCAAAATATACCTGCATCAATTTTTGAAATCCCAGATCTAGAAATATCTAGACTTCTTAAAGACCGTTGTGTGTATAGCCATGATGGAACATTAGGACCTATGCTTGTGTTCCTCAAATGCAACGTGTCAAGTTGAAATGGTGGGACCCATTTAGGATCAAAGTCAAATTCAAAACTTGTTGAGCTTAAGTCCAATGATGTTGAATTTGAGAGATTGGCAAAATTCATTTCAGAAAGAACACCTATCCACAGATTGCCACTGATGTCTAAATGATCTAATTTATGGAGTTGTCCCAAGGTTTCTGGAAGATCCCCGTTCAATTGATTGTAGGACAAGTCTAAGTGGAACAAGGAAGAAATATTCCCAATAGATGATGGAATTATGCCATGGAACAAATTGTGATAGATGTCCAAGTGTTGCAACTGTTCAAATTGGCCTAACCAATCTGGAATTGATCCTTCGAAATTATTATACCCTAAATCTAAATACTTGAGATTTTGAAGATTGAGCAAAGAATTCGGCAATTGTCCGTAGAAATTGCAACCATAAAGGTCAAGCTCATGGATGTGATTGGTGATATTAGAGAATGAATCAGGTAATTTTGACTTCACCGTATAAAAGTTGCCAGAAAGATCAAGAACTTCAAGTGACGTAAAATTGGCACAATCAAGGGAAGGAAAATCTCTTAATCCACAACCACTCAAGTGTAACTCAGACAGTGAAGGAAGCATGGCTATATGCTGGAGCCATTTGGTATCGTTTCCAATATCAATGTCACTAAGGTTAAGATATTTTAAAGAAGAAAGTTGGGAAAGCCAGTGAAGGTCATTTATGACTAAATCATCATTGAATGAAAAGTCAAGATAAAGTAGAGCAACAGAGAAACTTGTTGAGTGATTGGAAGGAGTAACAAGTGATTGGTTGTGAGATTTGTGAGCATCAAAGGGAGGTTTGGAGATTAGGCATGGTGGCATACTCAGTTTTGAATTCATTCTTGCTCAAGTCCAAGTGGTTGAGAAATTCAAGTTGAAGCACACACAGATTGATCTTACCTTCTAAACCATAATAGGAAAGAGAAAGCTCTGTGACTCTTCCGGTGATGTTGTCGCAGTGAACTCCCTCCCATAAACAGCAATCTTCTTCGGCAGTCCAAGAAGGGAGTTTGTTGTTTGGACCAACCACTCCTTGTTTGAAGATTAAAAGCAGCCTTTCATCATTTTCATCGCAACTGATCACCCTGTTGAATGTTGTTGCAAATAACAGAAACAACAAAAGAAAAGATATTTGTGAAGCGAAGCTCGCCATTGTGGTAAGTGAGTTCGAGTATGATGGCCTCAATGAAGTCTTTACATTTTATATGTGTGTGTGTGTGAATGTTTATAGACACACACGCGTATATTGGAAAATCTAAAGTAAACAAAAACTTAAATGCCTTAAAAAATTGATAACCACATGATATTTCTTATTATTAAGTCTACTAATATTTTTAAGTCTTCCCGTCTTTTCAATACAAAATCGTGTCATGAATAAGAAAATACCACAAATATAATATATGACATATTTAGATCCTTTTAAAGTTAGCAGGCGTTAGGGAAAAACTGGAGAAAATTATGCGCAAAAATATTGAAGGCTAATAGCTCAATGATTTTATTTTATTTTTAAAATGTTTGAAAACAAAACAAATCCTACATGGGCTCCACATGGAGATTAAAGAATCATCATCACTATTTTATGACTTATAAATAAAATAACTTATGACAAGTTTTGCATTTTATATTATTATTAATTATAAAAGGAGTATAAGGAGTATACAAACACGCACTCACGTAATGAACTCAAAGTGAATTAATTTTATTTATTTTTGTTTTAGTCCAGAAGTGAATAAATTAATTCAGATAATCAAAATTTGAATAAATATTTTGCTCTGAAGTTTGATTTTCTTGGATAAAAAATTCGACAAAATTTTAGTATGACCGGAAAATAATAAACCTTTTCTTATAAAATTTAATATAACCCAAAAAAATCATAATAATTCCGTTCGGACTCCAACTTTTCCTTTTTATTCTTTTTAGCTTCCTTTTTTTTGCCGTAATTCTATTTAGCTTATTTATTGCTTGCTGATTACTCCTTTCCTTCCTATTCACATGCCTTCCAAATACACGACACATACATTCATAACAAAACTAAATACCTCAGCTAAAATTTAATATAAATTCAGGCTTTAATAGGTTCAAAGAAAAATTGATCCTATATGCAAAATATTTGACTGGCATCTAGATTTTATCATTTATGTTTTCTTCAACTGTGTTTAATTTGAATACATTATACTCCTCTAGTCTTTAATATAGGACTTAATTATTGAGTTGATTTTGATCCTAAATATAAGACTTATTTCTCATATTTGTCCCTATGGATACTCCTTCAACCATAATCAAGTAAAAAAGGAAGGAAGAATATTAAGAAAGATGATTACAGTGTTTTAAAAAAATATGTTATATTTTTTATAATTAACTAACTTACTTAACTTCTTTAATCTAATTAAATTAGTTAAATGGGTCTTATATTAAGAATCGGATGAGTATAATGTAGGTTTGCATGAAAAATTACTGTAGAAAGTTTGCATTCATTCATTATCTTTACTCCAAACACACTACAAAATCAAAGCTCTAAAATTCGAATTACATTGTACGTTGAAATAACAAAGCAAATGAAATTTTCAAAATGAACCTGTCATCATGATTTATTTGAGCAGAATTAATTCAATTAAGTCTTTAGTTAGATTACATGGTCACGAAGTACATATATAAGTTGTGAAAAATGAAAATCATTACAAATAAATTGTTTATGAGAAAATATTGAAAAAAATAAAAATGGATAAAAAAATCTATAACCACATTTTTTTATGATCAAGTCTTCTAATACTTCCAAGTATTCCTATCTTTTCAAAAAAAAAAAAAAGGAATATTAATACATCCATTTTCATATCATTTTCCATTCATATTCAATTTCTGCAACCAAATTGTTTGAACACTTCAAAGATAAAAGTCCCTTAAGCAATAAATTAAACAAATTTTTTTCATCCAATTAGGGGTTTTCATCGAATACAACTTTGAGCTTTAAAGTAAGAAAAATATCCTATGAATTATTATTTAGACCTTTTATGATCAATTCATACCATAACAACGTGACATGTGGCGTTACATAGAAACTGCACACAATCATATAAATCTTTAAACGATTGTTTTGGGGATGTTTTTAATTTCGAACAAGAGTGTTGGCAAATAATTCACACATAAAGCAATTTTTTTTAATTTTAGCTATAAAATGATCAAATTAATGTATTCTCTATACCTTGATTTCAGCTATATATATAAATATATATAATATCTTGAAATAAATATTCTTTTTCGCATCATAAAGTCTGTTTTAAGTAGAAAGTTTTTGGCGCTAAGACGCGGATAGAAAATTTGCAAATCCTTGAGCTAGTGTGACCTAAAATTTAAGTTTAAGTCTACTTTTCAAAAAAAAAAAAAATTGCATATAACTTTTCAAAACATCAAAGATTTTAAAAAAATACAACCGAGAAGACACAATTAGATTATAAGATCAACCAACAGGGTTGGGTTTAGTGGAAGAGATTAGTCCTTCATAACGTAACAAACTAATATTCAAATCTCAGCTAAGAGAAGGTCTATATTTAGTGCCAGACAGTGCCTTAAATAGGATTATCTCTAATAAAAGAATACTTATGCGTAAAAAAAAACAGATTGTAGGTTCAGATTGATAAATTTAAAATGTTTACATTATGACAAATGTTGAGATTAAGTATTTTGGAATTTTTAATGAAATATTTTTCACGGTATTAAAAATTGGACTATAGAGTGTTTCTTTTGAAAATAGAGGTGACCTTTAGTAAATTAGAGAAAGGATGTCATTGTATTTTTTTTTTTTCGAAACAAGGATATCTCTAAGTCATATTAGACTTGAGACTAATTCCTTTCGGGCCTAGAGCGGTTAAGGAATAGCCCTCTCAACAAGTACGCTTCCCAGGATTTGAGCTTGTATTCTTTTTCTTATGGAGGTGAGGCTGCTATCACCTCAACCAACAGCTTGTTGGCAATGTTATTGTATTTCACTTTTATTTAACTTTTTTCCCGGTAAAAAGGTGATTGAAAAATTAAAAAACAAAAGAATGTATGTGACATGTTGAAGAGATTGCCTTGTCCACATAACGCTTTTAAAAGTCTTCGCTTCAAATTATACTCAGTTTCAGTCCTTTTCTCATTAATAATTTCACCGCAGCTTTCACTCTTATCATCTCTTTCAATTTTCTTTGGCAAAAGATTTTTTTATAATCTCTTATCATCTATCATATATTCAGATCCTTCTAAAGTTAGTAGGTGTTAGGGAAAAATTGAAGACAATTAACTTAATAGAATAATCAATACTATTTTATGACTTAAAAATAAAATAAATTATTATAAATTTTGTTTTTAATTAATGAAGGAGTACACTTACTCAAGTATTGAGTCAGAGTGAATTAATTTTATTCAATTTTATTTTGGTCCGGAAATGAATAAATTAATTCATATCATTGAAATTTGAATAAATATTTATGCTGTGAAGTTTGACTTTTATATATATATATATAATTTTGGATAAAATTTTAGTAAAAGTGAGTAACTAGTGGGTTGAGCAGCCTAGGGGTCAACTCGTAGCCCGCCCATTTAACTTTAAACAGGTACAGGATAGTCCGCACCTGTTAAAAACTCATTTAAGCATTCATTTTCATATCATTTTCTATTACACAAACATTTAAACGTCTAAAAAATCTAGAACCATATTTTTTTTATAGTCAAGTCTTCTAATACTTCCAACTCTTTCCATCTTTTAGAGGAATGAATATTAATGCATTCATTTTCATATCATTTTAAATTAAAATATTAATACATTCATTTTAATATCATTTTTTATTACACAAACATTTAAATGTCTAAAAAAAATCTATAACCATTTTTTTTTTTTAATGGTCAAGTTTTCTACTACTTGCAAGTTTTCCAATCTTTTAGCGGAAAAATTGAAATATTAATACATTCATTTTCATATCATTTTTTATTATCCAATCATTTAAATGTCTAAAAAATCTATAGCTATATATATTTTTTATTGTCAAGTCTTCCAATACTTCCAAGCCTTCACATCTTTTAGAAGAAAAATTGGAATATTAATGCATTTATTTTCATATCATTTTCCATTCTTATCTTCTTTTCCAATTTCTACAACCAAATTGTATGGAATAAATTAGAGGATTTTTTTTTCATTCAATTAGATGTTTTCTAGGAATGCAACTTTTAGCTTTTAAATTAAGAAAAATATCTTATAAATTATCATTTAAACTTTTTGTGTTCAGTTTATATTATAACAACAGGGCGTTTCAACATATTTAAAAGTGCTTTCTAAAAGCACATTTTCTTAAAAATTGAGATAAACTTCTTCACATATTTATTTTATATATTATAAAATCACTCTTAAAATTATGATTTGATTTCATCCAAGTATCCTATTTTAGGATGTTTAGTTTGCAAATAATCTTGAAACGACATGTGATGTTTTATGGTGACTAGCAATATTGATATAAGACATTACCCCATTCAAAACGCTAATGGAAAGTCTTCTCCCAAAATATACTCCAGTTCAGTCTCCACTAATTAATGAAAATATTGGAAAATTATGGCTAAAAAAAATCTATAATCATATATAAACAAGTCTTCTAATACTTCCAAAGTCTTCCCATCTTTTTGATCAAGAAAAATTTGGAATGTTAATATATTCATTTTCATATCATTTTTCAATTTCTGGCCACAACCATATTGGTTAAGCACATTCAATAGACACCAGATGCATAAGCAATAAATTAATTTTTTTTCCCATTCAATAAGAGGTTTTTTGTGAATACAACTTTTAGCTTTTAAAATAAGAAAAATATCTTATAAATTATTATTTAGACATTGTATGTTCAGCTTTATGTTCAGTTCATATATTTGTAACAACATCAATGACATGTGGTGTCCCAGAGAAACTACACACAATCATATAAATCTTGAAAAACGATCATTTTGGTGATGATATTTCTTCTCTCTCTGTCTCTCTCTCTCTTAAAGTTTTGGTGATGTTTTTAATTCCAAACGAGAATGTTTGCAAATAATTCACACATAAAACAAATATATCTTTTTTATTTTAGCTTTGAAATGATCAAATCAATATACTACCTCATATTCTTAATATAAGAGTTAGATAATTAATTT